ATATTTATTTATTTCATATTATATATATATATATATATAAATGATAATTATATATATATATATTTAATCAATATCATTCTACGTGTATTTTGATATTAATATATATAATTATATATACCGTATTTTTCACTCCATAAGACGCACTTTTTTCCCCTCAAAAGTGAGGGGACATGTCTGTGCGTCTTATGGAGCAAATGTGAAGCTTTACTTACCTGTCTTGTAGCGTGGGCTGGCAGCACAGCGCGCAGCGCGGTACAGGAACTTCAATTTCAGGTTCCGGTTTCTGGCGGGACTGAACGGAAACCGGAACCTGAAATTGAAGTTCCTGTACCGCGGTGCGAGCTGTTAAGCCGGCCCACGCTACAAGACAGGTATGTAATTATGGGACACTATGGGACAAGGGAAGGGGAGTGGGGGGACACTATGGGACAAGGGAAGGGGAGCAGGGGGACACTATGGGACAAGGGAAGGGGAGGGGGGACACTATGGGACGTTGAGTGAGGGGACACCATGGTACAAAGGGAGGGAGGGGGACACTCATGGGGAAGGGAGGGGGGGGAAACCAGGGACAAGGGGAGGGAGGACACTGTAGGACCAGGGGAGGGAAGGGGGACACTATGGGACAAGGGAAGGAGGGATGGGGGGACACTATGGGAGAAGGGGAGGGGATGGGGGGACACTCATAGGAGAAGGGAAGGGGGACACCTGGCGGGGAGGAGGGGGAGGGAAGCGACACTATGGGACAAGGTGAGGGGGGGTAATACCACTAAGGGGATGGGAAAGTAATCTATGGGATGTAAGGGAGGGGGAGAAACACCATGAGAAGGGAGAGAAATTCCACTCATGGAGGGGGGAACACCATGGAGGGGGGGAGAACACTATGGAAAGGGGGGAGAACACTATGAAAGGGGGGATGAATACTATGGGAGGGAGAGAGAACACTATGGGAGGGGGAGAACACTATGGGAAGGGGGGAGAACACTATGGGATGAGGGGAGGGGAGAGCACTATTGGATGAGAACACTATTGGACAAGGGGAGGAGGGGAGAACACTATTGGACAAGGGGATGGGGGGTTAAAGAACACTATGGGACAGGGGAGGAGGGGTTACAAATCACTATGGGACAGAGGAAGGGGGGGTTAAAGATCATTATGGGACAGGAGAGGGGAGTAGGTGGTAAGGAAGACTATGGGACAGGGGAGAAAAAAAAATTTTGGTGTGGTGCATCTTATGGAGTGAAAAATACGGTATGTATATTAATATTAAAATACACTTAGACAGTGTATGTGTATTTATGTGTATGTATGTGTATTTATATATTTAGATCATATAAATAAAAAATATATATGATCTAAGTATATAAAATTTATTTTTAAACTGTTTTAAACTTCTTTTTATTTTTTTACAGGCAGCAGGGGGAGTGCCTGTCATTACAGGAACTCCCCCTGCTGGCACTGCTGTGGACGGCTATGCCGTTCATGTGATCACTCTCAAGGACCCTCGCGATCACATGGCCCAGGGGGGCTGCAATGGAAGCAGGGGGACTCCCTGGGATGCCAGGTGAGTCCCCACACCGCGAGCGCCGGCGTGGGATCGCCGGAGACCGGGTAAGAACAAAGGACGGCGGGGACGTGCAATGCCACCCCCCCCCCCGGCGTTTAGAGCCGGGTCCCCAAGGACGGCATAGCATGCCTACCGTCCTAAAGGGATTAAACACAAATGTTGACCAAGAAAAGCTTCTGGCATCACCTACAAGTTGTCAGTGATTTTATTGCATAACATTTTACAGATAAGCTTGGAAAAAAGTCCATAGTTTCATTAGTTTAGACTGAAATCCTAAATCCTAAATCATATATCAAAGCAGATTTATCTATAGCACAAAGCATTAAGTAACGAGAAGGCCAGACACATGATCTAAAAGTTAAAATTATTTTCCATGTAAGTAAAGTGCATATGTCATTAAAATAAACAATTCACACAGCAGAAATTAAACTCAAAAGTTACACAGATATGGAATAATTCAGAAGATAAGTAACTTAAAATGGAAATGACTGAAATACAGATGTAATTAAAATTATTCAACATTAGTTCAACACAATAAATGCTTCAAGTGGTTTCTCCAAATTCAACTGAAAATGCAACTTATAATGACTTCTCCAGTCTCAAAAGTATGCAACCCCCTGAAAAGCATCCCTCACAACAGCACACATATGCAAAACAGGTGTTGTCTCAAGCACAAATCATGAAACTAATCAAGGGCTTCATTAGTTGCACCAGGTGTGCTTGAGCTAGAACACTTGAAATACCTGAACTGGCTAGGGGTTTGTTGAGTTTCACGTTTGACTGCATGTTACAAATATGGTCAAAGAATGGTCCGTAAAGTTAAGAGAAGAGATCATTGCCCTTTAAAAACAAGGAACAGGACATGAAAAGATAGCAAAGGCACTGAATGTTTCAAGAGACACTGTTGGAAGCATAGATCGCAAGTTCAAAGTTGAAGTGGACGGGGCAGAAAAAGGAAGATATCAATTGCTGTAACCAGATTTCTGAGGAGGCAGGTTGTGAAAAACCCTTGGTGACTGCAAAAGACCTTCAGCAAGACTTGGTGGCAACAGGCACTGAGGTTTTAGTGAGCACAGTAAGACGCATGCTAAATGCAGAAGGTTTACATGCCAGAACTCAAAAATGTGCACCACTACTGACCAAAAAGCACAAGAAAAGTCAGCTCCAACATGCTAAAAATTATATAAATAAGACACAGATTCTCTTCTGTGAAGCAATGAAACAAAACATGAACTTTTTTGGCCCAATGGATCGGCGACATGTCTGGAGGAAGAAGAATGAAGCATACACTGAAAAGAACACTCTTCCTACAGTTAAGCATTGAGGTGGCTCAGTGATGCTTTGGGGCTGCTTTGCATCCTCTGGCACTGGAAACCTGTAGCGTGTGGAAGGCAAGCTGGATTAATTGAATTATCAGGAAATCCTAGGAGAAAACGTTATGACATCTGTGAGTTAGCTGAAGTTAGGGCGTCATTTTACTTTCCAACATGACAAAGATCCGAAGCATACCTCAAATTCCACCAAGGCTTGGTTGCAGAAGAAGTCTTGGAAAATTCTACAGTGGCTATCACTTGGACCCTTTCGAAAATCATTTGAAGAAGCCAGGCAGAACAAAATGTATTAATTTCTCACACTTTTTAAAAAAGATTTTATTCATTTTAAATTGTATTATATATATATATAATAAAATTTTAAGCTTATATTTATTATCTTTACTTTAAGAGTGTGCGTGACGTAGTTGTAGTAAAAGGGTTAAAGTTCACTATTTGTCAGCACTAGACCGGAAATAATGACAAAATCCCCTTTAACACCACTCACACTTAAATATAATGATATAACTATTACTATTTTAATGTTGCCACCACCAAGACAATTTATAAATGGGGTGCCTTGGTCCCCTAAGGTAAATCAATTATAAAAACCCAAGAAATACAACTTCGCACAATATCTTAGCAATGCTATGCAAAATACTAATTAGTCTCTTTGGGTAACATGATTCTTAACCAGACAAAGGCAGAACTTAATAAAGGAATATT